GTCCTGGAGGAAGTGCAGCCAGAATGCTCCTTGGAAGCAAGAATGGCCAGACTTTGTCTCACCTATTTTGGTCCATTGTAAGAAGGGACCATTGCCTGGAGAAGGATGTCATGCTTGGTAGGGTGGAGGGTCGATGAAAGAGGGGGAGGCCTTCAAGGAGATGGATTGATACGGTGGCTGCAAGGATGGGATCAAGTATAGCAGGGATTGTGGGGCTGGCACGGGATCGGGCAGTGTTCCGTTCTGCTGTGCATGGGGTCGCTATGAGTTGGAAATGACTCGACGGCACTTAACAACAACAACAACAACAGAAGAACAAACAAATCTGTTTTGGAACAAGTACAGCCAGATTGTTCCTTAGTAGCAAAGAATGTGAGACTTCATGTCATATACTCTGGACATGTCATCAGCAGGGACCAGTCCCTGTAGAAGGATATCATACTTGATAAAGTAGAAGGTCAATGAAAAAGAGGAAGACCTTCAATGAGATGGATTGACACATTGGCTGCAATGATGGGCTCAAGCATGGCAATGATTGTGAGGATGGCACAGGACTGGGAAGTGTTTCATTCTGTTGTACATAAGGTCGCTATGAGTAAGAACAGAGTTGACAACACCTATGAAAAATGACAACATTATCAGAGTATAATTTTTTTTTCCACTAAAAAGGAAATTCCATTTGGAAACACTGTCTTAGGGTACTATGGGCAAGTAAAACTTAAAAAAAAATAAGTTCCTATCTTTGAAATAGAGTCTCAGGGTGATGCAATGGTTAATGCACTCAGCTGCTAACTGAAAGTTTAGAAGTTCATGTTCACCCAGAGGCACCTCAGAAGAAAGGCCTGGCGATCTACTTCCCAAAAAACCAGCTATTGAACACACTGTGGAGCACAGTTCTGCTCTGACAAACATGGGGTTGCTATGAGTTGGGGCCAACTCAATGGCAAAGCAACAAATAAATCAACCTTCAAATGTCTGTGGAATTATTAGAACTCACAATGATGATTTGTTTTATGTTGTAGTTAAAAACATAATTCATGAAGAAGTCTCAAATTATGACAAGCAGTACCGGGGCAGAGAGCTTCCTGGATTTATCAACCACAAGACATTCGAGAACATTGTGCAGCGCTACATCCAACAGCTGATAGACCCAGCCCTAGACATGCTCCAGAACGTCATTGGTGAGGACCCTTCAAGTGACTGCCCCTAGACCTTCCATAGATCTCAGTGCTTTGTGGGGAGAGATGGGAATTCCGTTAACAAGCACAGCTTGTGGATTTTCTTCTCCCTGGTGTGCCAGCTGTGCCACTCCATGTGGCCCATGGAGCAGCAGCAGCAGCCTGCCCTGAGAGCTAGTCAGAAATACAGACTCAGCCTACTGAGGGGAGCTCTGGTAGTATAGTACCTAAGGCACTTGACTGCTAACTAAAAGGCTGGTGGTTCAAACCCACCAGCCACTCCTCAGAAGGAAGATGGGGCAATCTACTTCCGTAGTGATACTGCCTCAGAAACCCAAGGAGGGATTTCCGAGTCAAATCAGAACTTCATTGTAGCAGGGGCTCCAGGCGTTGTGAATGCATTTGGAAGGCTGAGAAGCTCTGCGCTGCAGTGTTGTAGAAGCTTCCATCCTAGTCCTTTACATGCGAGGGTGTACGATGCAGTGATGGTTTCTCTAGTTTTGAGGTGAGGGAATGAGAGTGCATTTTGAGATTTATCTGAATTGTACTAACTTTTTCAAAGCAGCTGTGTGAGGAAGGGGGCAGAGGCTGGCCCCAGAAAGGGCAGGAAACAACAGGACATGTTCAGGGGTGGGTGGTAATTGTGGGGTTCTTTCTCTTTAGGAATATGTACTATTCCCCACCCCAGCCTCCATTTCTCCCTTGGTCTAGGTCTGGGTAGCTCAGCCCTGAGATGGGATCTGTGGAGCATGGTGCTCTCTGTGCCTTTAACCCATTTTACTCCTGCTTGATTTTGTTTTCTTTGGCCAGAAATTGTCCAGCAAGCATTCATTCATACAGCCAAAAACAATTTTGGAGAATTTCCCAACCTGAATCAAACAGCCCAGGTAAGCGTTCACAGGTCACTTGATAGTCCCTGGTACTACTGACTGTTTTACCCAGCACTTTGAAGGAAGCTGGACATTTATTGGAGTTTGGACAGATAAGACCAGGGCTCTAGTTGTCAATTTACTGGACTGGAGACTAGCCCTTTTCCAATTTTTTTTAAAGTTTGGCTTGAAAATGTTGCCATGGCTCTGTAGCTTTCCACTCAGCACTTCTCCACTGCACTCTGTCTAGGTCAGAACCATCTTCTACCCAGGCAGTGGCCAGAGGGTTAGAATCTCATTTCACAGGCTGTGTGAGGTCTATATTAGATTCCTAGAGCTGCTATAACAAAGTACCATGAACCGAGAGGCTTATAACAACAGACATTTATTGTCTCATAGTTCTGGAGACCAGAAGTCCAAATCAAGATGCTGGCGGAACCATCTTTTCTTTAAAGGCTTGTCTCTCACAGCCTCTGGCAGCCACAGGCATTCCTTGGCTTGTAAATGCATCATCACGTGGCCATCCTTCCTCTATCTATTTCTGTGTTTCTTCTTTTATAAGGACATCAGTCATATTGGAGTAGGACCCACCCTATTGCAGCATGACCTCATGTTAACTGATAACATCCTCACAGATCCTATTTCCCAAAAAATGGCCGTGTTCACAGGTACCATGGGCTAGGACTTCAACATATCTTTTTTGGGGACACAGTTCAATCCATGAAAGGATGTATTGTTTATTATTGCTACATATACTCAAAACCAGGAGAAAACAGCACTTGTGAAACTCACAGGCCCTCTCTCTTTCAAACCTTCAATTTACAAAAATCTGTGTGAAAGTCAGGAACTCTGGTGGTGTAGTGGTTAAGGCTGTTAACCAAAAGCCCGGTGGTTCAAACCCACAAGCTGCTCTGCAGAAGAAAGATAAGGCAGTCTGCTCGGTAAAGATTTACAACCTTGGAAACACAACGGGGGCTGCTATGAGTCAGAATCAACTGCATGGCAGTGAGTTTGATTTGGTTTGGTTTGGTGTGAAAGTCAAAACCAAGAAGTGACTCTTCTCAGCTGTATCATCCCTTGTTTTCCCAGGAGCAGAAGGATTTCTGGAAAATAAACACCAAACTACTATCCCACTATGTTCATTAGCTCAGGAGTTATCTTGACCACTTAGATTCTAGCAGAGAAGGGAGACTAGGGCAGCTTCCCTGTGCAGGGAGACCTGGGTTTGACTCCCAGCCAGTGCACCTCATGCACAGCCACCTCCCATCCATCAATGGAGGCTTGTTTCCTGTTAAGATGCTGGACAGGTGTCAGTGAAGCTTCCAGACAAAGATGGACTAGAAAGAAAGGCTTGATAATCTACTTCCTAAAACTAGCCACTGAAAACCCTGAGAATCACTATGGTTCAGTCTATAACTGACCATGGGGACGGTGCAGGACCAGGCAGTGTTTCGTTCTGTTGTGCATGGGTCACCATGAATCAGGATCTGACTTGATGGCAGCTAATAACAGACAGACTGATGCCTTCTTAAAAATATCCACTCAACCATGACTAAGGAAGGAGAAAGTCAGTGTTGTGAGGAATAGGGAGGTCAGGGCAGAGAGAAATAAAAGGTGGGAGAGAAGGCAGATTGGACAGGGTGCAAGGAGGAGTACAGCAAAATAGGGCTTATGGACAGCAATAAAGGGTGGAATAATGACTTTCTTAAGATCACTACTTAAAGTCTTGGATCCTTTTTATAACCTTAAATTATTATTTTTTTTTTTATTATTGTGATTTGAGTGAAAGTTTACAGAGCAAATTCGTTTTCCATTCAACAGTTCATACACATACTGCTTCATGACATTGACTTCAATCCCCACAATGTAATAGCTCTCTTCCCACTTCCTCCCTGTGCTTTCCTTTTCCCTGTGTCCTTCTTTCCTATGCATTCCTGCCCTCTGAGCTTTCTCCCCATGCAAATGCTGCCCTTCTGGTCTCCCATGGTTGATTGTTCTAATTAGATTATTTTTAATTTGATGTTTGCTGTAAATAGTACTTCTAAATTGCTTCAATATAAGGGGAAGGAAGGCAATGTATTTGTCTTTCTTATCTAACCAGAACATGATCAAAGACATAAAATTGAGACATGCAGAAACAGCAGAAAATCTGACCCAGCTTCAGTTCAGAATGGAGCAACTGGTTTTTTGTCAAGATCAGATTTACAGCATGGTTCTGAAGAGAGCCCAAGAAGAGGTGTTTAACTCACTGGAAAATCCTCCACAGTGTTTTCAGACGAAAAAGGCAAATATTTTTGATACCAATGTAAGGGATTCTCCAACTCCTTCAACTTCTTCCATCAGTGAAATGGGTATGCACCTGAACGCATATTTCATGGTGAGTTCTTAGAGAGCACAGAATTAATGCACCCTGATATTTGGCAAGTAGATACTGGGTCTTCCTTTTGAGAACTGTTTAACTGAAGGAAGAAAGGAAGGACCACTGCTCTGTATTAAGCTCTTTCATGATGTAATAACACTTCCTATGTTATCTTATTTATAATTTTATAGTAACTCTCTGAAGGGGTAATTATAATCTCAAGATAAGGGAACTTTCAACTAACTTGCCCAAAATTAGTTGTGATTTTTGTTTCTATCTCTTTTTTCTTTTTTCT